GGTTTTAACATCAAATAGAACTTCATTTTGCCACGACTGAAGGAGACTGCATATGTAAACTACAAAGTCTACGCTTCGATCGATGACCTGCATCATATCCATCATTTTCCATCTTTCACTTTCATTGAAGTTTATAAATCACTGCTCAGGTTGGAATTCTGTACGCTCTTCATGAATTTTATGGTTCGTTGAACAGTTTATTTGGGCGACAATAAACGTTTTGGAAGTAACTTGGTCCACCTGAATATTTCATCTAAGCTCTTGCATATGTAAGCTGAACCTGTACACAAACAAAAAGGTTTTATAAGAAGATGTCCAGCATAGTTAACCTTACGAAGAAGCACGGTAAAGGGACAATATTACAAGAGTTAAGCAATGTTCATTCAAAGGAAACAGACCATTTGAACGTAATACAGAACTTTTGTAAACAAGCATGAAAATGTCTAAAACAGCTTATCATTAAAATAAGCTTTCAGTTAAAGTGGGCACATTTAACATTCCAGACAGACAAGAACTCAAAGAGGGGAAGTGAAAAACCTTGTACTTCAACTTCTACTTCTACTTTATTGACTGATAAAGCAGAATTCCGCATCACATCAGTTTCAAAATATATAGCAACATTGTAATGAAACCTCAGAAAAAGTTTTGATATTGATAAAATTTCACCATTACCTAAGTTTAGGGAGTGACTTGATTAGAAAAGTAGAAGTAAAATTCCACATGGTGAAACAAAAAAATTTAAAGTTTTACATAGAAAGCAGATACTTCCCAACCATCCCTCACTTTTCAGATAATCTGTCTCTTTTCTCACATCTATTTTCTTTACTTTTCTTCCTATAACTAATAAGATGTATAAAACTTGAGAATATCAATATTTTTTTACCTCAGCATCAGTTGGATTTTCGTTTTCTATGCTGCCATTCTTCAATTGTTGTAGTTTGCACCTCATGTGCATCGACCCAACTGGGCTTCCAATCAACAAGGAACTCCTGGCGATGCTAGTTAACAAATTACAACATAAAAACATCATTAGAAAATGTAACCGAACAGAAGAGGAGAACAATAGGTACAGTGTATGCACATCTACATGATTTTAAAACAAAAAACTAAGTGTTACAGAAAACCGTTTAGGACATTGAATGTAATATATTCTGTTTTGTAAATACGTATGACCCGACAATGTCAACAAAAATGCAAATACATCTTCCTTAGTAACTGACCAAATAAATCAGGATGTCTCTGAATACTCTTACCAAAAAATAGAAGCCAATTGCCAGATAATTTTTTTTGTAGTGGAATAATAAACCTCTTATTCGATGGTTTAGCATATAATACGAGCGGACAATTTGCTCATTGCTCGTATTTACTACGCAACTCGCAAAATATCCGCACGTATTATATGCTAAACCATCGAATAAGGTGTACATACCAGGTATGTACTTATCTTTTAGTTTAGCTTCTATTTCTTGTATTCTCTTATGTATTATTTTTGTCTTGTGATACCTTACTAATTAAGAGGGCCACAAGTTAATTGTTGTCTAACTATATTTAGGTGTTACCCTATTTTAAAAATTAAAGTTTCATTGATTGATTGAAACAAAAAGAATGTCCGACACGGCGAATAAGAATTTTGAATATCAAGAATTACATGTAAAGAATCAATACTTGCTATAAAGGTCATTGTAGTACCTATATTTATCAAACAGTCCTGCTACCCATTCAGTCCACCTGCACTTGATTGGCATCTTCGTAATCCTTTGTTAGAACTGATGTCTTACCATAAATTATAAACTTACATTTGTAAAGATGTCCTCCACCTCGGATCACAGATTTGACAATCCGTATTTTTTTCTTATCTTACAGTCAATGTCGCCAAGGCAGTAAAAAATGGAACGATTGCAGTTATTGCCTCAGAAAGAGATCTGCAGTTGTACAAAGAGAGACTGTCTGGCATCCATGAGGAGTGAGATTTGGGAACGAGTCGCCCAGTCCCCCACACCACTGACCATATTTGGCAGTGAATGTGTTTTTTTTGCGTTAGTCAACAAAAACAAAAAATCTTCCATCGCCGGGAGCCCTAGCCTCCCCGCAGACGTCCTTTGGGGTTCGTTTGTCACGCATTCATTTCTCCCCGACGGTCCGTGGGGGAGAAATGAATGCGTGACAAACGAACCCCAAAGGACGTCTGCGGGGAGGCTACGGGAGCCCTTGTGTGACTCCGGTCCAAGCGGGTACGGTTACGCCGGCGCCTATTCCCATCCGTAAACGGTCGTTGCCATTGCCACAATTGGTAACCAAGCCTTTAGGCATAATGTATGTAATATATTTCCATTATAGCTCATATGGGAAGGGTTAGGGTCATCTGTTATAGCTTGCGAACGGCAGACGTTTCTCCTCGCTCATCGCCGCTGAGAGTCCCTTAGCAGCGATGAGCGAGGAGAAACGTCGCAGGCTACATTTGTTATTGATGTAACAGTTAAGAAAGACAGTTTGCTAGTGATGTACTTACTTGCAATTTTTCCGGAATTTTGGCGGGTCACGCTAGTCAGTAGGAGATAGATAAGGATACGAAAGGTCCGGGTTCGAGGTCCAGATACGACCCTGGGTTGCAGTTTTCTTTCTTTTTAATAGAAACGCTTTCAACAAGTCAAAAGTTATCATTTTTGTCTTAAAAATGGCAGCGACCGCATACGAAAGGGACAACTGCCACGCCGGCGCTCGAATATTGGAACGCCATCCACGCAAGCTAATCGTGTAAATCTCACAACTCAATCTTCTTTTGACTGCGTTTGAAAGCGATTACCCCTATGTCGTTTCGAACTTGAAAATTTAATTCAGATGATAAGCTAAAAATATTTTGAACCAGTTATGAGATGTGCGCGAAATATTGTAAAATATAAACTTTATTTTTATATAGCTTCTTAGGAGTGGCTGGGGCCAGTCTGACACAGGATAATGAGTTGGCAGTGGATACGCGAGAGAAAAATAAAACAGTAACAATGATTCCTTTCTATTATTGTTTAATTCTTTGGTTCTGTCGTCACGAATACCATCGATGCCGGGTGTACAGGTCACAGAGTAAAGGTCACTGCTCGGGGACTTCTCCATTGCTAAAGTACAAAATCACACGGAATCCCCTTGATTTAATAGACAATTTTGTTAAGAGATTCCTGAATGTTAGGACTAGGAGACACTTTTAATGCTTTTCATCTTATCATGGTGACCTGTACTCTGACCAGTGAAAAAGTGACCCCACTGTTTAAAATGACTCGACTTCGCTCCCATTCCGCGTGAACACTCTCTGATAAATGTATCAGCTTATGACCACGAGCGGCATAAAAACGCAGCCTGTTTAGTATTGATTTTCCTCTCCAAACCTAGGTGATGGCCTTTATCTTTCCCTGAGAATAAACAAAAACAACTAATAATCTTTCCAAGAGAATAATCAAACGTTTTGGCAATGTGTTGGGCTCGACGACGACTTCGGCTAAAGCTTCAAATTGGCATGCCGAGCATGCCGGGCACGCCAATCTGTGAAATAGGCATGCCGGGCATGCCAAGCCAGATTCGGCATGCCCGGCATGTCGACCACGAATTTCTGCCCGATAGAGGTCTGGGGTTCAGTTCCCCATTCAGCAAGAGGCCTGGGCTGACATGACCTGGGCCATTTTTGCCCACCGAGGGCATGCGCCCGAATTTTACATGCCCCGAATATATAATTTATTAGTAATGAAGATATTGAGTATTTTTTCATTCCTGAGCCTATGAAATATCTCCTAGGCTATTAATGTGACTCCTGGGCCGGTTTTTTAAGCTAATTTGGCATGTCAGAATAAAATTCATGCCAATTCCTTTGATTTAAAAAAAAACTGATGAAATTTTACTTTCCAAGCCGTTTGTTGCATCAGGAAAGCCAAACATGCTAAACAGGGGTTCAAACAGTATCTGAAAGCTTATTTTTCATTCCCTCTGAAACACCTGGAGAATTAAAATTCTCACAGAGCCACAGCCTAAAACAGCTAAGCTGCTCTGTTGTATCAGGAAGGCTAAACTGTTTTACTTAACGCTAGACGGCGGTTCAAACAGACTGTTTATTCATTGAGCGTCTATCAACAGAAAAGTAAATTTACTGAACATTTCCATAAATTACACAAAAATGAATAATTCTCATACAACGACCAAGAATTTATAATTGTCTTTGTATGAATAATTACTTGGCTAAGAATTATAATGTTGTTCAGGGCTCTAATAGTGAGCTTGGGCTACTTCACGTGGTTTCGCCGATATTTGTTTGGGAGCAGCTCTTTAGCAATAATTTTTAAGCTATTTTTCCTGACTGATGTAAACCCTAATTGTGTAAAACAGAGAACAAAGCTTTTAATTAAGTAACGCTGAAATTTAAAATGTCAAGAAATTTACGTAGCAACTTTTGAAATGTAGGTAGCAACTTTTGGGATTTTTGGCGATTTTTAGCAATAATTTGGTATTCTAATAAGCCACTTCAATTTCAGAATTTTACGAGCATAATCGGGACAGGCTTAGATGAGGGTCCCCAATAGTGTTCTTCAATCGCGTAATCCCGACCCAAAATTTCGTGCAGTCCCGTAATTCTGTAATCCCGAGGGTTATTTTTGGTAGGCAACCTCCCGCGCATACTTTCAATCCCGAATCTCGCCCATTTTTGCCTTAAAATCCCGAAATCCCGAGTTTCAAATAAGGGATATCGAAAAATCTATTTGAGAACCCTCATAGATAGTTGCTTTTAAAGTCTATTACTTAAATTTTGCGGATTTCAATACTGATAAGTGGCATTTGACTTTTGCTTTACATAGTTTCCGCTGATTATTGGTACGTATTTGTTGGACCCATCTAGGCACTCAATCTGTGCGTCAAGATCTGGACGCATAAAGTAGACAAGCGAGCGTCGAGGCTGGTTCAAGTAATTCACCTCCTTTTCTGACACCACTACTCGATGGCGCTGAAATGCAATTAACAATCAATTAGTGAATGGAATAAAGTTTTGCACCATGTAAGGGAATCCAAGACAGTCTTGGATTCTGGATTCTATGCTGTGAATTCCGGATTCCAGGTGATGGATTCCAGATTCCAGGTGATGGATTCCGGATTCCAGGTGACGGATTCTGGATTCCAGGTGATGGATTCCAGATTCCAGGTGATAGATTTCGGATTCCAGGTGATAGATTCTGGATTCCAGGTGATCGATGGATTCCGTTTTCTCGTCAATGGAACTTGGATTCCGTTTTCCAATCGTTATAGCGGGATTCCGGATTCCTAGAGCTTTTTCCGGATTCCAAAGCCCAGAAGTCTGGATTCTACAAGCAAAACGTTTCCGGAATCTGGATTACCTTTCAATTACATGGGACGAAACGTTTATCATATAAAGGTCGGGTCATAGAATAGCTCCTCAAAAAAAGTGGGTCTCGGAAAATTTTGGCCCGATTTCGGGAGATCTCGGGTGATTTTGCGTCTCGGAGGCTCGAAGTTTGAAACCAAAGTAATATAGTAAGGTAGAGTAATATGAGTTATATGCAGGGAGATTATTATTACGTTAGCTTGACCCGAAGTACTTTGCTCTAAGGTTATGGTTAGCCAAATAAGTAATAACCGAAGGTTACGGTGTGCAGGCGATCGACTGTTAAAACGCTTTTGCTTCAACGCTGTGCTTTGCGAAAGTTCTACGTGATATGATATGGTCAAAACGCGCGTTATGAGATTGTGTTCTGTGTATTCCATTCATTTTTAGTGGAAGTCCAGACGAAGTGCCGAACATACGCAATAGCAACCTGGAGATTAGGATTGTGGACCCCTCTTGTCGCCCGCAATAATCGCGCCCAGTCTGCCCCAGTGGGGTCCGAGACAATTTTTATCTGTTATAGGTAATCTGATTCCAAAAAAGCTACTTTTGCGTCACTGTACAGTTTAACAAAAAATGTTGAAAAAATAAACATAAAACCGTTACCCCTGCGATAAGCCTGTCTGATGTCAACTTCTGCATCATGTTTCCAATATTAATGCAAATAGATCCTTTGATGGGAACTGCAGGAACATATTTCCCCTCAGCGGATAGAAACTGTTGGAAAAGAAAGAGAGATATTTCAGTAAAGAAGTACATTTTAGTTCGGCTTTTTACTATTCAGATTTCCACTGCTTACATTCCGGCTTCATTTCTCTAATCCTCTAATACTGGAAATTCCAAAAATGGGTCGAAGATTAAGGGTCTGAAGTGAAATACTGTAGTTGTTTCGCTCAGAGGTCACTTACGCCGACTGTTTTACATGACAAAATACTTCGCAATTCTAGACATCTCTCCTTCACAAGTTCGCAAAAGTTTCCTTTGTGTAATCGTCGAGCTCATAAACGCGGAGAGCTAGGGTGAGCAGAAAGTTTTCAAAATTCAGAAGGCTCTCCTCGCCTAAACAGTTGACATTTCGCGACGCCAAAGCTTGTTTCCGGCCAATGACGTCTGAGAAACGAGCGCAGAACTTCCATACTGATGACGCATTTTCTGATTGGTTGAAGCAAATTTCCTACGCGGCTCAACCACGACGCGTCATCAGTATGGAATTTCTGCGCGCGTTTCTCAGACGTCATTTCGAGAGGAAACCAGTAGGTGGCGACACTCAGTCGAAGCGACCGTCACTGGTTTGATATTAGTTTCTGTTAATGTCTCACCTCCAAACCTCCTAATTCATCTTGATATAGCATCGTTATGATCCCGAGGTCAGTGTGTTCCGCGCAACGAAGCTGACCAGGTTTCACCTTTGTAGGGTCAGCTTTTGGGTAGTAAGTGTAGCGGAGCGCAGAATTTCCTTCAAGCTTCCCAGTATGTTTGAAAGCAAAGTCAAAAGTTGTAGGATCCTGGATGAAACAAAGTAGTTAAGTTAATTCAATATCATGCATTTGTGAGTCATAATCCTTCCTGTTGCTGTCAGACTAACAGGATCAGGAATGGGGTATTAATTCGGCTTCCCCGCTCATTTTCACGACAATCATCTCACGACAATCATCTCCATCCAGAATACTGTTCTCTTCAGTAATATCGCATCCGATTAGTACTTCAGCTTTTGTTTATTTATAAAGATCTCTAACCATTGATCTTCCATTTTGAATTCCTTCCCAATTGACTTATTTGTTCTGTGCTCCGTCCATGATATTTTAAAATTTTTTCTTTCGCACTTTATTTCAAAAGCGTTAATTCTAACCCGCCTACTTTTATTCCATTCAAATTCGTTTCTTTAGCTGATACCACGTGAACATAACACACCAGAAATGATGGAACGGCTATTCCATTAAGGAAATAAGAAAAAGTTTAATAGATTCGCTTTTATGTTCTCTTTATTCGTCAATTTATGGTCAACGGATCAATTACATCAGGTTGTTAACCCCGCCAATATGGAACTTACCAGACCCATCCCAATTGTGACAGTTGAGAGCACCCTTAAACTGAGCTCATGAGTATCTTTCCATAAATCCAACACATGTTCCTTAAAGTTGGGAACTTCCACTGGCCAAAGCTGCAAATGACCGATAATAACGAGCAATTATTAACACTGATTCATGACTGCAAGGTTCACGGCGCATGCTATTGTTGTCATAGCAACTTAGTAGCCGTTTTTATGCTAAAGACGTCAAAGTGTCTAGCTATGAACGGTAAATAAGAGAGATGCATTTAATGTTTTCTTAAAGTGCGTCATTCAGAATCATTTAACAGACGACTTTCTCGCCTCAGACGTAATAAGTGTCTAGTATGAAAACGGAACGCCGTAAACTTTGAAGTATTTGTGCCCAACTCGTCCAGAAGGGACTGGGAAGAGTCAGTGTTTTGTCTTTTTTCAGAAAACTCTGCTATTTTTCCCAATCATCTCGACGAGTTTTATGCGTCCCGTTTTGAGACCCGTCGACTTTAAAACGGCCAGTGGTTCACAAACTGTACATGGGTATCATCAACCTAGGTCCCTAGGCGTGCTCTCTGGGAAAGGGTCAACGAGTCTCTCTCTCAGTGACGTCACAGCTCACGGTAGAGTTCAGGATTGACTTAAGTGAGAACGGCAAGGGAATAGGCTGGGGTATCATGTATGTGGGGCAAAAATTTACAATGCGATCTGCTAATGGGAGACTTGGAACCAAGATTTCGACCTTTGAATACTGTAGGAACCGCTTCAAAATTGGCCTTTAACTTTCACTCTCAGTTTTTGGCCGTTCCAGACCCACTTAGTCTATTGGTGCTATAACTTGTTCCCAGACAGAGATTGTTTCTCGTAAGTCCCGTTAAATTTTCGGGCAAGGAAAGCTATATTTTATGAGCGTCATGTTTGCATCAAAGATTCAAATAATTGTGTTAATTTTGAAATTCCTGAAATGAGACTCAAATTTGGCTTGTTTTGTTATGAAGTTTCGCCCACAGTAGCGACAACAGCCAAAAACCTTACTGCACGAATCCAAAATTGGATACGCAACTTCAGTCGATATCTCATGCCTTGAAAACATTACAGTACGCAAAAAATGACTTCCGGAAATTTCTGGAAACTTTGATTCCTCTACACTGTTTCTGAAAGCGTTAATAGTCTCTAAGCGTTCCCGGCAAAACCATGGTTCAAACGTTCACATGCTTTTTATGAGAACATTTTGCATGGAGTGTATTTCAAATCAGGTTACGTTTTAAGGCCAATTCTTATTTTATTATCACTACTACTATTCACTTAAAACGTGTCTACGGGCGGAAAAGTTACCTTACATTTGGAGAAAAAGATCCGTCTGGCACTAGCTGAACTCGTTTGCAGAAATTATACAATGGCCGTGCCTCTAAAAATGTAAGTTGCTAGTCTTGTTCTTGCGAGTACGAATATCTTAGTGGAGTCACTGTCCATAATGGTAGAACAAGTTAATTTATCTGGTATATCTTATCTTATATTCATATCGGTATTTCATCGGATTAAATAGGTTAACTTTTTCAGCTCTCATTGGTGTGGCTTTTAGATAAAACTTGAAAAGCATTTTGTAATTTCTGCACGAAAATAGTTACTTTGCAGCCATATCCATTGACTTACGAAGTCATCCTCTAAGAAATCTTTTATATCGAAGCATTCCTTTAGATCGCCTGGTGTCTTTTCTCGTCGATTAACACTGCAATCCAAAACACAATACGTTAAAGGAATAAAAGTATAGAACCTAGAACAAAAAAAGAAAACTTTTTT